CCCCCCTACCCCCCCCCCCCCCCCTCTCTCTTTCTCTCTATAGAACTCTATATAAGCCTCCAGCCTGTGACTCCACACTGTTGTGTACCTTGTTGTGACCTGTGATACGCCGTCCTCCACACAGCAGACACTGGTCTTCTGGTCCCCCATGTCCACCACACATGCTGTGGGCACACCGGCCCCGAATACTGCACACACAGACTCCTGTCAGATGAAGTGTTAGATTACCTCTTTTCATATATGGTTTAGATATAATCTTACATTTGGTATTATTTCCTGTACATGATGCATTTGCATCAATTTTTTAATTCTCGATTCACACACACATGCACGCATGCAGGCACAGTCACATGTAATATGGGTAATGTGGTACATGGATAATTTTCACATGACTTTAGAATCACACACACTCTACTATGTCAATATATTTCACACATAACCCATTAGTTTCTATTATTCCCCAATGTTACCCAAGCTTCATCTCCAACATGTGGTTTCTTCTGTCATTATCATAAGACAAATTATAATTCCAGTGATAACAAGAGTTAATGGCCAATTTCTATCACAATATTAATATGCACTTTGGATATACTACATGTAGCATTCAAAAGTATGTACCTGATGAAGAAGCACTGCAGCAAAGCCCAGCCTGTCCAGAAGCATGTTCACCATCTCTCGGACATGCTGACGATTGTAGATATCAGGAATAAGCAAGATGATCCTATAATGCTGTGATGTAGAACAAAAATAAATGTGATGAATATGATAAATGACCAACAGCATTAAGGCATGAATACATAACCACTGCTTAAGTCTGATTTCTAGACCTTTAAAGTAAAAATAGTGCACTGCTGATATGGGACTGGTGGTTGCTGCCATGCAGCTACACAGAACATGGATAAAAAGTAAAATGTTTCTAAAAGAACTAAATGTGTTTTCTACCTAAAAGTCACGATGTTTCCACCCTTCATGAAAGGTGTCTTGACCTGACTATATGTCAATGTGAGCTCCACAAGTTAGGAATAAAACATAAAACCTAATTTTAAACACCCTGAAACCTCTCATAGTATGTCCAGGCATATAAAACATGAAACCTTTAACTATACCAATAGCAGAGAGGCAATACTGCCTCCAGGGCATGTACCACCAGCTACGTTAAGCTCATCAAGGGAATATTATTACACAGAGATAAAAAATAGTTATTAATGACAAGACATTTTCAACTCTGGCACATGATGGCAGGACATTTCTGTGAGTATTTACCTACTGATCACTAACTCTGGTAGAATAATGAAACAACAGTAAAAAGATACAAGTTAAATATGAATTACCTTGAAATCTCTCATGGGTATATCCAGGCACTGCTCAATGGCATTTCCCCAAATGGTCTCCAGGTCTGCCATTACTGCAGTCAGTGAGCCTGCAGGGCCGGAATGGATGTTGAGATGGCCCCTCCGCATCGGCCAGTACACGGTATAACAATCTTGTGGGTGGATGAATAAAGCCTGAATTTCAAGGCAACTCCATTGCATATAAACTGTATCATAAATAAACGTAATATACATATGTGGCATTCTACTCCAAATTGCCCAAAATTTGAGAATTTTATAAGGTGACCACATTTTGATTGAAGTGCATCATTTCCCATTTTCCAATGCCCTATTGGATAAACTGACAGACATAATTATTTTTAAAAATTCTAACAATTTTCACCATGCATTCCAATGAGAAATGGCACATTAAATGAATGAGCCCATAAAAACTAAAGTGACCACTATCAAAAGCTACAAAGAGTCTCCGCACTGAGGTGGCTTTACTTCATACCCATTATGAAAGCAGCAAACACAAAAGTTCATTAAAGAAAATAAAAAAATAGCTACCTCCTCCCCTATAACGTAATCTGGTTCTGTCTGCGTGCTGGTCCACTGCTTCTGTGGCATGACTTCTGACACATCAGCCTTTACTTTGTTGTTGAAATGGCATAGCTACAAGTGAGAAAATATCTTCAAGACTGATACTATTACTATGCCCATTACTGTAACATTCATCATGGACCAAAGATTTGTGAGTCAAAAACCAATACTGTATCAGCAATATCTACTTTACTTAGTCAAGTGTTCAATTATAGCTGCAGTCTCAGTATTGCTATCATTTGCATGATTTATTAATAGTGACAAGTTTCCAAAAACAAGTAGAACTTAATGACATTAGATATTTGATTTTTAAGCATTTTCAGCTATGCCTAAAAGTCTACACCTTTTGAGAAAAACGCCCAGGCTCTACCTCATTAATCATTGTTGTCAATTGTTTACCTCCTTAGGTAAGAGTAAATACTGTTTTGATAAACAAACCACATTCTTTTAACAAATTACCTGTTTATGATTTGTTGGCTGCCTGTATTCCCCCCTGGACATGGGTCGACTTAGAACACATTCCTCAACTTCCTTCAAACCTTGCAGTCTTTGCTTATCACTACCAGGATGCTAAAGAAAGCAATACTCTTAGCCTCAGTCACTTTCAATGTGTGTGTATTTGCATGCATTTGACAGTGTGTGTGTGTGTGTGTGTGTGTGTGTGTGCGCGCGCGCGCACTGAGCAACTTTTAACCAAAAAGGCCCTTCAAAGTTTGTATATCAAACATTTTAGAGTGTCTGAGAGAGAATGATCATGTACATTTTAAAACTTGTCTAATATTAACTGATAACTGTAAATGATCTAATACTGCTTTATAATCAAAATTTTAATTTCATTTAAATGATCTTAAAACATTCACAAGATTAACCCTTGGAGGGCCTTGTGAACATGTTTTATTTAAAATGTTCTACCCTCCTTAAATTAACTTTATTATTTACACCATTATTGTTATTACTATGACTGCAAGAACCTCTACTATTATTATTACTACTACTACCACTGTTACTACTACTACTCCTACTACTACTACTACTACTACTACTACTCCTACTACTACTACTACTCCTACTTCTACTCCTACTACGACTACTACTACCTCTGCTTCATTCCTGGCCACCCATTCCTCCTCTTTTCTTGTCTGCCCTGCCTCCTCGTGTCTCCTTGCTATACAGTGTGGAATAGTGACTGGAAAGGTGTCAGCAGCACGCCCTATCCTCAGGTTCAGGGAACCAGGGTGAATAACTATGATTGTAGTGCCCTGGAATGTCTGGAAACAGTTGACAATGAACGGTTTCATGGATTGAAATCAGAAACGATGGTCAAAGAATTTAACAGAATCGGTTTACCTATTCTAATTAGTAATTTCATTTCTTAAAATTTATTTGTGTAGTATTTTGCAGACTAGAGTGGTATTCTAAATTTTTATATGGTATTCACATTCAATGTCGAAATTCAAAATGATCAATGAATTTTGGTGACAGACAAATCGAGTGTGTAAACACTTTAGAATTAGGTATATCACAATCCGCTAGGGGCGCAACAGTAGTAACTATCCAGGGGCAGTGAAGTGTAAAACTGATATCGGCCTGCTGACAGCTCGCCTATGGCCCCCCCTTTTCAAATCTCTCTTTTAGTGCTGTGCAAAAAAAACTAATACAAGCCATTAACTAAATAAGCTGTAAATCAAAGAGTAAATCCAGTCACATGATTTTCCTGTGTTGCAGTCTTTGAGAAGTTTCAGTTCAGGGTGTTTGAAGTTTTGTCAGGGAAGTACTGGTTGGAATTTTTTGAAATTTATAGCGAATAAACTTTATGAAATTTGCAATATTATGTAGAAAAATCATGAAAATTAAACCATGCGAAGTATAGTTTATTTGATGTGCAATATTTATAGTACATGATCTGCACGGAAGTTTGTTTCCGGGTCATTAGATTAACATACTGCCCTAATTGCCCTAATTGGTCACAAGCAATTTGAGCTGCAGCTCCAGCTGAGTGATCACCGCTGGTCAGTATTCACAGGTTTTTAGCTAAAGAGTGTGGACACTTTTGGTGAATTGTTGCAGTTAAAAAAACTTCAATATCTTTGTTGCTTGTAGGAATATTAAAAAAAATTCCAAATGATTTCATACGGTTTTTGCATTACCTTTCAGATGATTTAAGTATTATAATTTTCTGATCAGTTTGAAAAATTTTCTGATATACCTATTAAAATACGCATTGTGCAAATGAAAAAACTTACTTCCTGAGGCGGCTCTGGGGCTGACTGTGGAAACGGTCGCTTCCCCGACGTGGGTGGCATTGTACCTCAATCAGCTAAACATCCCAAACACACAAATCAACGATGAATCCCGTGGAGATGGACCTATTCCAACCTATTGAAGCTTTATTTCAGTCATTGCTTGCATATGGATGCGTAGTACGTCATCAACTTATGTATACTTTCAAGACAGGCTATTGTAGATAGCAAATCACTTTCCTTTCAAAAGACCAAGTAAAAGACACATCTTATGAACTCGTCCATCAAAAATAAATTCTGAGTGTCTTTTTTCGCGAACCCCTTGCATAATTACTTGAGGTGACATCTTTCAACATGTCAATACCCGGGCTGAAGACACTGCCCTCTAGTGGCGAAGGAAACTTGTCTACTCGCGACAGATATTCAATTAGCAATTATGAGCAAACGGGCATGCCTACAAATATACTCACAGAGCGTGCATAATTTCAACTTTCAAGAGTTTTCTCCTTTTTTATTTCTCCTTCTATCTTTGTAATGTAAGTGAAGTGTTTTAAACATGACATGGGATGGCAGGCAATCACAAATTATCTTTATTTTGAGAATTGGATTTTAAAAAAATCCCTTACCGAATACTTAGAGTTACATGTACGGATATAGAAGTACACGATAAAATATATAATTATGTGACCAGTTAGTGTAAAAAGAAATTTAAAAAGGTTGTGTTCCTCTTTTAAATCAGGCAGAGTGCGCGAATTTTATTAAACGAATCATTTCCTTAATATAAACTTAAATCGGCCTACAGGGGAGGGTCCAGGTTTTTTTTTTTTTTTTTTTTTTGAAGATCAGTGAAAATACCTATTACGCTGTCCAAGCGTTACACTCAAAATTCAATAAGGCCCGTCTTGGATGACCAATTGATTAGTGGGATGGGCACAGCTCGTTGACAGTGCCCTCTGACGGCATAAAAACCCATGACGGTGAATTTAAAAACACAATTATATTTGAACCAACGTTTTATTATTCCCCGTGGTTATAAGAAGAACCCTCGATAAGTTTGCTGTACCACAGATTAAAAAAAAACCCTTACAAATGGCAAATGTTACAATCACACATAACTGAGGCGCAAAATGATAATACCAAATTAATACAAAATTGCCCATCAAAATATGTCTAAATTTGATCAATGATATAAATAAGGGAAATGGATAAGTGATCTTCCTGATCTTCCAAGAAAAAAAATGAGGTAAAATTGAAGGAGAAGGTTAAAATAGGCCCCAGCTATTTATAGAAAAATCATAAACCAAATGCTGAAAAATCTGAAAAAAAATCTTGACTGGGCTTGACTACACCTAGTAAGAACCAAAAATATTATGTACACTTTAACATTCCAATAAATGACAGAAAAATTGATCGATATTTGAAAAAAGAAACGTACTCGTATCTGAGATCATTTATATACAGCTGCAGTTTACGGTACGTGTACCGAGAGTAAGCCATATAGGACGAGTACGTGCACTGTAATTCAAAGTATAGTTTCTCAAAACAAGGTCTTGTTTAGCGTTAACAGTCTCTGATGATTTCATGTCGAAGGTAGGGTTTGACCGAAGGTTCCCGAAGTGAGGAGCACAAGTCCTGATTCGATGTTGAACATAGGATTAGACCGAAGATTGTCAAATGTGAGGAGCACAAAGCTTAATTCCGTATCGCCTAACGGTATGCTTGAGTAGAGAGGCTACATCCTGGACTTTCGCTCCACGTGTACGCTTTCCGAGCTGAAAGAAGAACAAAACACACACAATTGAAAATGCGGTGCTTCGAAAATAACCATCTACCATCTTCTAGATTCGGTTTCCCTCGCAATCAGAAAATAGTTAATAATAATACTGCATGTACAGTTGCATTTGGCATCGTTTGGTACATGTACAATCTTAACTCGTTGGTTATACTATATAATATTTTATCATTTCTTTATTTCTATTCTAATTTTAGAGACGAGAGGGACACTGAGTTTCACAGAGTCAAAGGTACTTAGGGGAACGCCCCCCCCCCTTCCACCACCCCCTCTCCCTGGCTCACGCTTACCGAAGCTCACCTTAGTTATTCGATTTATCCTCGGTTTCCATTTTTGTCATCATCCTTCCAACATTTTTGATTATAATGGGTGCAGTCGTCCGCACTGTAGCCGTTGTAATTTGCACACTGCCCGCAAATGTTGCCACACCCTAACACAGGGGGAAAGGACACGAAGAGGCATCGGTATGGGAAATGAGCTACGCAGGCAGTCACCACCAAGCCCCAGGGGGTGCTGACTTCCACGCACTTGGTGAACGAATCACGATCAACAATTTTGAGCACCGCACGAAGATGGTTGCCACTCATAACATTATCAGGAAGTGTCGTTACGGCATTATTAATCTGAAAACGAAATAAATAAATAAAATGAATAAATAAAATAATTGAAATCTCTCTCAATACTTTAATGTACCACGTTTAATATTTCGTAGCTCAGGTCTGTGTATTAATTATCCAACTAATAAAACCTGTTTCTACTGTATATTCGCCAATTTACAAAAAAATAACTGATAAAATAACGAACAAACCTGAAAATAGACAATTCAAATAAAATCTACTGACAGGAATACCGAAAGAAATTTTTCACAAGGGCAAGCTACCTGGGTATGGTAAATAGATTGGCCCCTTTTAGGACGCTACCACGTGTACTGACCTTTACGATCGCATCATCTGGATCTCTGGTTGCTTCTATGTCGACCCTCTTAGTCGGCCAACTCCCAGTAGCATCATACGGCCTATGCAGAAAGACTGTGACATTGTTGATAACGCGTCTGTTGGAGTTTGACGGTATTGTGCGGAACTGTATGGAGAATTGCTTTTGCCCAGTGCACTGCTCGGCCATGAAGTTGTTTCCATCATTCCCTTGATATGAGAACCTCTGACCATCACATGACGTAAAGTGGGGGTCGCCGCATGCTTGACATTCACAACTTCCTGGAGGTACATGTGTAGGTAATTAAGTACGATACATGAAGATAGCGTGTGTGTCAGGTGTGTGTGTGTGTGTGTGTGTGTGTGTGTGTGTGTTTTACTCTTGTGTTATCAATTTTCATTTTTATTGTCTGTTCTACTGAATACTTCAAACAAGTTTTTCAAGTTATTAAAATAAAATAAAAATAGATACTTCAAACAATTTTTTCAAGTTATTAAAATAAAATAAAAATAGATAAAAACCTGACTGTTAATTAACAAACAGGAAAATATATCTACTAGTAAGTATTATTTCTGCCATCGTGGGCGAATATACCAACTTCTCCTTAAACTCTGACAGTTTTCCTAACAATACTACTCTTTAGTTTCAACTGCTCATCCCCAATGGTTTTATGGAGCATTGTCAGTACTATCTTGAAATAAGAAATACCCAGTGCCCACTACCAGTATTGATTGATCTCATAAACTAAGCATCAAAATATGACCTACTATTCATTGTCGCTTTCTCTGAGCAGTTTTCATTAAAAATTTGGACGCTTTGTTTTAAACAAAATTACTTCAAAGTATTTTCTAGACTGACTTGTGCAGTTTGGTTGATTCCCCGGATTCCCTTGTCTGCTCCTGGAATACCTTCCCCGATCACCTCTTTTTCCTCTCCCCTGCGCCGACGTAACCACGATCCCGGTAAGCAGTAAAAGTAAAACACCAGCAAAATAAGTCATTTTGGCTCCTTGTTGTTCTAGATCTGCTCCTTTCGTTCTGGCTCTCAAAATGCTCTTGCCAGTTCTGGAACCGTATGTTTATATCAGTGACCAGGAAATACCCATGTGAATGACACGCCTTCGTTTACGTGCTCAGGTGGCGAGTCTTTCTGGGAAAATGTAGACGATGACAGCAGCTCGATAGACACTTACGAAAGAGGTAAGCCCTGCCTCGGAGAAAATTTCAATCAAATTATGGCACGGGATGAAATAACTGTCTATTTGGAAATGATAAAATAATTCTCATGTACTGACAACCTTCTGAAGACAGACATACAGGCACCAGCGTATTAGATGTATATATATTAGTGAACTGTACTGTAGTGCGTTTGATACTATCCTGCATAAATCTCTATTTGTCAGAGCAATATAGCTGTTGATTAAAAATTACCAAAATTGCATGTGGAGATATCTAATTAAAATGAAATGAAGGATAAAGTGAATTCTTAAATGTACACGCCCGTTCTTTTCTAGTTAACATTACTTGAACCAAAATATTGCATGAGATGACCTTCCAAAATTTGGAGTAAGAAAAATAAAGTTATTTATATTCAATCAACTGTTAACATTGAAATTGTTTAGCTTCAATATTTCAATGTCTGATTTAAGCATCTTTATCAGGGAATGAGGCTATCCAGATGAATTGCCTCTATTCAGGAGATATACCCCCCCCCCCCCCCACCCCAATTCAGAAAAGTATACTAATTTATACAGGTCTCTACTACGTCAGTAAAACGCACCATCTGGACATCAATTAACTGTCACCAAGCATGAATAATAAAAATAAGCATTCAACATGCCAAAGATGCATCCCTGTGACAAGCCGTAGAACGTCATAATTTTGTACTTCACGACAAGTGGCAGCCACTCAGTCTGGTAGACGTTTTGCGTCCATGTGCACTAGTGTGGCTCTGGGGAAATTTCAGTGCTTTACTGGTAGATTTTTCAAACATTACGTAAATATCATTGCTCAATATTTTTTAATGTTTATCACTAAACTACTTCACCTCTTTTAACAGAGGGACCTTTAACAAATATGACCAAATTTCGAACATCATACTTGAGTTTGTCCTATTCTTTTAATTGGTATGCCATATTATTTACGTCGGTTTAGATCAGATCAAAGCACTTACACTGACTTGACGCCCCCTCCCATTAAAATAAAATGTAAATAATATCATTGCTGTTCTCATATAATAAGCAAATGGAGATGAAAATTTTGTCTGTCGATCCTGGCATTATTTTTTATTGTTATTTATGGGACACAAAGGAAATATATTTTCAGGTTGTTAACATGTTTGATCAAATTTTATTTCTTGAACAATACTAGAACAACACAGCACAATATAAAGGAGTTACAAATATTCTTTATTTCTTTATGATCAGATTGATACCGATGGCTCAAGCCTGAGTGATTTCTAATGCATCAATTCCCACTTCAGAACCTGAGACGAACTCAGATAACAAACGTAGAACACTGTAACAGAGAAATATACCATTGCACAAAGCCCAGCAGCGAAAGTATTCGTTTTTGTTTTGGGTCCATTTCCCTATAAAATAGCGTCCATGATTCAGGAAAATGACATCTATCGGTTCGCTACAAGTCTATATACATTTTTGGCACAAATGGCATCAATAATATTGATCGCTTTTTCTAAGTTGATATACCCCGAATTCCAAGCTCTTGGCACTCTAAGGCATAAGGGGTGCATTTTGTGTTTCCAAAATACCAGTTTTGTGGCGGATACCAATTACTGTATATGTCATAGATATGTCAAGTTCAAAACACTTTAATTCCCAGATTGTAAAATGCCTCGAAAGTCAAGAATGAGTGTGGAGAGATGGTTAAAATGATATACAGTAGCTTTTTTAAAAATACAGAATTTTGAATGAATGCAGACGGGTATGAATTGAAAAGTATCGATAACGCGATCTAACCCGTTACCATAGAGTGCTTCTTACTTACACCCGCTATGCCTTGATTGCTCCGCTTGTTAAAAATCACTACAGTATTAACAAACACGGTTTTGCAAAATACTAAGAAATCCAGGGTGATTGCGTAAGCCATAGCACAGTAAACGAAATAAATAATTAGATATGTTGTTTACAGGTGAATTACACGGAAATACATTGTTTGTATACGCAATGTTCTCAGGGAGAGAAGCGCAACTTAGGAGTTACATATCTCAATCAAGAGCCACTTGCAGGTGGGAAGAAGGTGGGGGCGAGGGTCCCCGAGATCAAATTTCTAGTATTCCTCTGTCTCATCTTCATAGACGCCTCCGTCTAAAGATTCTACGCCGACCTCTTCGTAGTCCTTTTCCAGAGCGGCAAGATCCTCTCGGGCCTCTGAGAACTCCCCTTCCTCCATACCTACATTGACAAATAAAGATTAACTTTAAAAGGCCTGATAGCGTAGTCGGCAAAATTGTTACCCCGGACTGTTTTTACAGGAATTTTTTTTTTTTCGAAAAGGGCTCTTTGCCGGTGGATAGGTTCAGTTATGGATTGGTGGCTACTACTGAACCTCATTTCTCAGAATTCATAACGACTCCCAGTACGCAAAAGTCAATTTGTTTTAGATATAGAGTCGCTCTCATGCCTTGCACATTATTATTTCGAATCCAAGTACAGGGCCAGGGCAAGTAATGTTTCGTGGATAGGAAAAATTGCGTTTTCTTTCGATTTGGCTAGAAATCCTGCATATGATACCTTTAAATCAATTACTGCCTAAAGTTATTTCTTATTTACGGACAGACGCAGTATTAAAAATTGCCCATAAATCCTCTATAACCAACCAATACGTACCTTCACCCACATACCAGTGGACGAAAGCCCTCTTTGCATACATGAGATCAAACTTGTGGTCCAGCCTTGCCCAGGCCTCGGCAATCGCTGTGGTGTTACTGATCATACAAACAGCCCGCTGCACCTTGGCCAAGTCACCACCTAAAGAGACAAGAGAGGAAGACCCAAGATGACATGCCTAATGGTGGGATTGTGTCGCTTGTCGAGGACACATTTTTTTCATCGACTTTGCACGCGTGAATTAAAACACTCTCTGGTTTGGAACCTGCGTCGAAAAAATTGGACTTACAAACGTGAAAGATAACCCGATATGATAATGATAATAAGTCGACGCCGTCTTTTCAGAAAACCGTGATGGCATCACGGAAAATAAATGTACTTTTATGCTGCTTGTACTTTGTAGTAAGTCATTATATTTGCTTTTGGACTTCAAATTAGACCTGTTGCAAATGAGTCTGTAGAACAATAACATGAAAAGGCACAGCTTCAGGATAATATACTATTACCTGGCACGACTGTAGGCGGTTGGTAGTTGATACCCACTTTGAAACCGGTTGGGCACCAATCAACAAACTGAATTGTTCTCTTGGTCTTGATGGTGGCGATGGCGGCGTTGACGTCTTTTGGAACAACGTCTCCACGATACAGCATGCAGCAGGCCATATACTTCCCGTGGCGAGGGTCGCATTTGACCATTTGGTTGGAGGGCTCGAAGCAGGCGTTGGTGATTTCTGCCACGGTCATCTGCTCGTGGTATGCTTTCTCGGCTGAAATTCGAGTACACAAAATACAAAAATAAGAAAATAAGACAGTATGTAGAAATAAATAAACTGTTATATGAAAGAACAGCTTCCTATAGCAGATCTATCAGACTAAAGTCTGATTAATAATTAATTTACGTGTACATTCACGAGTGTATGAATGCTTAAAAACGCGAAACATGCAATGCCATGGGGAACAAAGTTTCCCTTGTTTCCCTAGCCCACATAGCTATAATATTTATAACAATAAAATTCTCCTTCCAACATCACCGCAACAAATTGGATAATAACTGCTTGAGTGGACATCTCAAATTACAGAGGCATTTCCCCTATATGAGTGAGCTAACTACGAAAACAGTGAAAAATTTTTAATAAGACATCGTCTTATTTCCAGAGTCACAAAGCATGAATTAAAAGCGTTTAACCACTATCCACTAACATACCAGATATGATTGGCGCATATGTGACCAGCGGGAAATGAATCCTGGGGTACGGCACCAAGTTTGTCTGGAATTCGGTGAGATCAACATTAAGGGCGCCATCGAACCTCAAGGACGCAGTGATGGACGATACTATCTGACCTATGAGACGGTTCAGATTCTGGTACGTGGGGCGTTCAATGTCGAGGTTGCGACGGCAGATGTCGTAAATGGCCTCGTTGTCCACCATGAAGGCGCAGTCGGAGTGCTCCAGTGTGGTATGGGTGGTGAGCACGGAATTGTACGGCTCAACTACCGCAGTGGAAATCTGAATGGATATTTAGCATTGTGGTGAACAACTACCGCAGTGGAAAATTGGATTGATATTTAACACTGTGGTGAACAACTACCGCTGTGGAAATCTGGATGGATATTCAGCAATGTGATGAACAAATATCGCTTCGAATAAATGCTTCGTATTTTGATGAACATGTCCACCATTGCCCAATACAATAAGGTAACTATCTCCTTCTATACTACTATGCAATTTAAAGCCACTTAGTAGGTCCCTTCTGCTTTAAAGCCACTTAGTAGGTCCCTTCTGCTCTCGTTAAAATATCTTTAGGTTAGGTTGAAGAAAGATGAAAGATGAAGGTGGCAGTATCAAAGTTCGTCATGAACAAATAATTCACCTCCATCTCTCGCCTTTGTGCCTCTATTCTTGAAATCGAATTTTAATAGGTATAATATGCATAATTATGGCACATTACGTTCATCAATCAAAAAAAAAAAAAAAAAAAAAAAAAAAAAGAATCCTCGTTTTACCTGTGGTGCTGGGTAGATGGCGAATTCCAACTTAGATTTCTTGCCGTAATCTACTGAGCAGCGTTCCATGAGCAGAGATGTGAACCCGCTACCAGTGCCACCACCAAAGCTGTGGAAAATGAGGAACCCCTGTAGACCTGTGCACTGGTCGGCCTGAAGAAATAGTTGAAAATTATATGAACAAAATCAGAAGTAAGCATATTAGGCGCTGCGACACTTATTTTCATAAGAAAAAGAATTCAGAACACACAAAAAGCGCCCCTATTGGTGAATTCCGTAGCTTACTGGATGCGGATTAAAATACGGGAACAATGATGGTGTTTCTTATTAAGGCAAAGACACAATATCGCATATGGCCAAAAAAAGTCTTCATTGTTTCGACTAAAATTGAGATATATACTGACCATCTTTCTGACCCTGTCCATGACCAGGTCAATAATCTCCTTGCCGACCGTGTAGTGACCCCTAGCGTAGTTATTGGCGGCATCCTCTTTGCCGTTGATCAACTGTTCCGGGTGAAACAGCTGCCTGTACTTCCCGGTGCGGATCTCGTCTGGAATGGCATGTATTTGTGTATTACCAACACCACATGTATGCCAAGGGATACTTTGAAATTGACAAAATAATTTTTGGACAGCCGTTTATTTAAATATTGCCAGATATACATGTTTCAAACTAAAAAGGGTTATCCCAGCTCAAAAGGTGAATTTCTTATTTTAAATGAATAAAAATAAGCGTGCCTAATTTAAGGTGGAAATAAGCTGTCTCGAGCATATGGGTACATATTATTTTGTTTCAGGCCATTAGAGTTATGGTTGGCAAATATCTTGTTCTGGAAAATTATGAAGATCTTGAGACATTCATAATGCTCTTTATTGTAAGATTATCCCACACTGGCCTGTCAAAACTGCCTGATTTCAATGAATTGCATATCACCTTGAGGATATACTTGCCATTAAAAAAATTTTAAAGCTAAAATATACATGTATATGTTAGCTTCCGATTTCTTATGCAAGGAAGACAAATTCTCATGTATAATACAACACAAAGATTACTGAAATGTTTACTATTGTTGAAATTAAATATTAAATCTGTACCTACAGAGAGACAATAAAACAGACCATGATCAAATATATGTATTTCAGCAATAATAATCATAAATAGACATTTCCATCTCTTTGTTAAGATTCACTTAAACAATACAGCTATATTCTCTGTACTTTTATTTCTTCCATATGCCATTAAGGAGGTAAGCCCTATTAAGCGATGGTGATTTGTAACTCCATAAACCACCAAAGATTATTCATTCTTTCGTAGAATTTCATCAGCTAAACCGTCCGTCTGGTGACTTCTATAGATTCTATGAGCTGTTTATGTTTAACGTTATGCCAAGTTTATCACTGATGTCCCTCGATAACGATGAAGCGGTCAGAACCCTATGCATTCCGAGACAAAAAAGCTGTAAAATATCGATTTAGGGACTCCTCGGCTCTCAAAGCTCATTTACAAATACATGGCTCGTCTACCAAAGCATATGGTAAAGAGAAACTAGTAAGTCGTGACGGTGCGTTTCGTATAAACTATGAAAGATCTCTAAGATATGTGTAGACACTTTCCTAAATATAAAGGCAAAGGCAATGTCCATCTTGACTAACTGATTCTAATTTCATATTTGTGTATCTTTGACTTATTATTATATCCCTGTTATTAAGAAACTTGAACTACATGTTATTGCAGTTTGAAATGAAAATTGTTCCATTATGTCTAGAACACCCAACTTAATGCGACGGCAAAGGCACCAGATGGTCGTTGTTTACTGTGAGATGCTTACCAATAACAGTTGGCTCCAAATCAACGTAAACTGCTCTGGGGACGTGCTTTCCGGAACTTGTCTCACAGAAGAATGTATTGAAGGAATCGTCACTGTTTGATTTCTTGTCGGATGGAATGTGACCGTCAGGCTCAATGCCGTGCTCAAGGCAGTAGAGTTCCCAACATGCATTGCCAATCTGGCATCCAGCCTGACCCACGTGGATGGAAATGCACTCTCGCTGAAAGATAGAAGGCGGGACATTTCATACGGTGGTCTTTTTTTTGTATTCAATTTCAGATAAATATTTATACGAATATATATATATTTTTTGCAAGAATGTAAAAGAAAGAACCCAGACCAGACCCAGACCCAGAACGAACGCTTGGCTCGTCAGGACAGAGTTCTCTCCATTGGGTGTGAAGAGATCTGGACATGTGAAACAGGCCAACCATAGAGATTGTTGTTTATTTAAAACAGTTTGGAGATATCTTTTCAAATAACCATTGACATCCACGAATAAACGGCTGAATAAACATTCCTCTAGTTTAAAACTTCCAATTAGATTTTTGGTATAGGCCAACAATACGCAAAGAAATTTTAAGGTGTTATGGAACATTTGCTAATCATTTTCTAACTTTTTAGAGGACATGGTTACTCATAGTCCCGTATAACAAAGGATTGGCAACGCTACGTATTTCTCTGTCAATTTACATTGTTTGCAGTTGGTAATTAACAACTTGCATTTGACCAAAGTGTTTAACTATTTCTAGTGCCAATTGGCTGTGGAAAAATAGTATCTCTGCTTTGGTATTCGATACATTATCTTAACAATGCAGACAGCACAACAAAGTGATACATTTTATCGGAACATAAATAAACTATTTCAACAAACATTAGCATTACATTATTACCATCTACTGCACACCGACGGCGTGACGGATTTTTAAAGCAGAAAATGAAATTGCGACACTTAAAATTGAACTGACTTAACATGTACATTTAAGTAATTTCTGTAATTATAGAATATATACAGAATTATTGCACAAACTATATATGAGTAATATATATATATATTTGATTTTCTCCCAGCTGTAACTGATGTGCACCGTTCCCTTTACTTATTATTAATGTAGCAATAACCTAGACAATAAAATCCTCTTTCCCGGTGATAAAAAGTCAACTCTAAGTTAATCCCTTAAAACATTGCATGGAATTAGAAAAAAAGCTCTTTTGTGGACATGTGTTGAATGTTTTATAACATAGGAAGTGCTCCAGTTGTAGTGGTAGTAGTGATTTCTCATAATACCTCGAAAATGGCAACAGATTAGTGAAACTTATTTTTGGTTAATGAACAGATGTGAAATAAACGGCAATATCTTTAGATTCGCTGACAGTGGATTCAGCGAACGTTTCAGACACTGCTGTTGCTCTTCCCTCAACCTGGTTATGCTGTAAATAAATGATGAAAATGAACACAACTCCCTAGTAGGAAAGGCCAATACCAAAATACATGCTAGTGAATAAATCATATAATGCGTGTTCCCAATCCAAATAAAAAACACAAAAAACAGTGTCAAACAAACAAATTAGTACTAAGAGACATAATCTGCTCAGAAAACGCTGCTGTTTCTTGACGTACTCCCTCTTTGGCACGCTTATCCAGTGGTAGTCCTCGGATTACGTCACTCTGCGCCTGTGTAGAAAAACAGGTTTTAAAATTATAAAACACTAAGATACGAAGCTAATAATATAAAACACTAAAATTTATGAGTACAAAATTAAGGAGATGTTGGTGATATTTCTCATACAAACAATTGCAGCTTAGCAGGTCACGCATCCCCATTAATAGCATGACGTCATTTCGACGTGAAAGGGATGTCATGTTCTTGCTGCGCGCGCACTCTCAATAGGCCTGTTCGTTCCTTGCTCGAATCTCTGCTCTTCTGGCTGTTTGAATATAGAATCAAAAAGAATAAAGCAGAATAACCTCGGTATGTAGCATTCCTACACTACCCACCCAGATTGCGTCACCCCTCGAAGGCATCAGGTGCGGACACCGATCATCCTGCGCACACGCATGCACACACCTATACTCGCACACATAATGTCACATTCCCATGAGTATCAAGAACGTCAATTTGATTAAAAGTATTTCCGATATCAAAACATTACATCGTTTGTCATGTTTATGTGTTTGTTTATCTGGAGCTAGCGATCAGTTCTTTTTGAACTTATTCGTGTTTAGTTCGGGCTAGAAAACGCAAAAAAAAAGGACCATTTCATTGCAATTTTGACTCAGAGCAGCGGACCCTTTCCAGGCCAAAAGGGTTGTAGTATCGACCCCCCCCCCCTTGCGCTGTAATTTTCTTGAAATGCGATCTTGTGCCTGATTATCTTTTATGATTTATCTGCAGGAGCGTCTTCTAAATTTCACGCAAAACCACATGAGTCTCTCACTGTGCCAATTCTTAACGAATTCTGTCTGAAGATTGATAAAGGACGACACAAAAGCCTTTCTTTTCCTATCACGTTTTTGACTTGGCCTCTGCACAGGCGAAGACATCTTTTATAAAATAACTATCATTAATGTACAAGTTAAATGCAATATAGAAAACGAGGACATTAACTTGAAAACTTAGCGTTGATTCCGGTCTTTTCTGCACTGAAAATATATTCCAATGTTTGCAAGATGCAGTTTTAATTATAAGACATGTAGGTCTACAGAATCGCAGAATCTATCATCAGAATATAAATAATAATCGTGACATACATTTATGCAAAGCAGCGCGTGCAAACGATCCGCCGTGATGTTTTGCGGTTGCCGTTATTCAGCACTGTGGTTAATTCACAGTAGTCTTATATGGGTACAATGATATTATAAATCACAGCAATTTGATCTATGTTCCTTGAATTGACAACACTAGAATAAACCTTACAATGCATTTAGACACGTTTATACAGGAACTTTCGTAGAGCTGCGTACATGTTTCATAAAAAATATAATTCAAAAGTCTTCCAGCCTTTAGGCCAAAGTTTTAGCTAGCCTTTGCTTGATCCAAGATAAAATCGAAGTGGCCTGCTTGATGTTTCATAACGACAACGAAATGGATAATGTTTGATATATATATATATATATATATATATATATATATATATATATATATATATATAGGCCAATACACAACAAGGGGAAACTTACTTTGGGATATCATTTTCAATTTATTCGCCACGGCCTAACAATTAATCAAATAAATCTACCATTAGAAGTAACAGAAAGAACCGCGTAAATGTTTAAAAAATTACAGATCAGCTGCACTAGTGTAATCTTATCCCAGAGAAGGCTGTTCCTTGGAGTTGTGTTTATCTTTGCCCTTCGTTCTCGTAATCTGCACGCTGCACGCGACATAGCGGGGTTTGTGGTGATAAAACAGTCTCCTGCAAACCCCGAAGAAGACAGACAAGCGTCGAGTTTCATAGCCCATCAACAAAGAAAACTGANGGGTGGATTCTTAGTTTCTTATGATCCCATTAAAACCCCGCAGAGCGACAAGTAAAGCTTTCTGGAAATACTACATATACTGCTGAAAGATGCACAGTCGGTAAAGGTCATCACGAGCATCAATATGATATCAAGCGTCTCCACTTCACGCATAGTAATGGTGGATATTTTTCTTTTTGGAGTTTTCGAAATAAAATACTAGGTGTGCGGCATACGATTCCAACCACCATTGGAAGACCCAGGGGCGTAGTGAGAGTCGGTTGGTATTGGAGAAATTAACATAGATCGAGGGGCATCCACGCCTTCTCGCTTTCCCCGAATGTTTTAATCTACCCCTCCCCCCCCCTTATCCCCCGCCCCGTGATAACATTCAACCACGCCCCGGATCCATCTCTGCCCCCCCCCTCCTCCTCCTTCCCTGCCGGAAGATAATTCCGCCAGAGTGCCACCACGGTCATGCTAGCACCGACGTTGTTCAGTACATAATCGTCTCTGTTAATATATTCCGGTCTCCTCACTCAAATTATCCCCAGTATTGCAATGCCCGTTTATCACATGCCAACACTCGGGGAAAAAATGGGAGAAGAGCAACGAAAAGCAAGGTTAATTGCGATGATTGATAGCAATTGTCCAAATTAAAAACACAATGAGTGAGAAATATGTTCCTCTCCCATGACCTCGCTGCGCTCAAGGATGAGTCGCAGGCTCTTTGTTGTAATTAAAGAACATATCCGCAATTATTCCGGGTCACATCGGGAGGAAAATAGTGTGGGTTGGGGTAATGTCTGAAGGGCCTCAAGTAATGACCGCATTAACAGAACACGCATTCGCTTCAGTCTCTGAACTCGGAGTGTGAGAAGTAAGAAAAAATTCGATTAAACAGACATACTATTAAAGAAGATGAGAATGAGATCATGGGCCACAGGTGCAGCATCCGCTGATTTATCGCTCTCTTAAGTATTGAAAGATCGTCGTCTGGTAAAACAGACGTGGTATTTCTTTGAAAGAGAGAGAGAGAGAGGGAGGAAGGGAGGGAGAGAGAGGGAGAGAATGAGAGAGAGACAGACAGAGAGACAGCGAGAGAGATGTAAAATCAAGCGAACTTGACGCGTAAAATCAAGCCAACTTGATTTTTGAATATTGCATAGATTTGTCAAGGGTTTCCAAAGTATTTTCTTAATAGTAAAACGCGTGGAGTTATACGACTGCGGCTTAAAATGTGAGGTAAAACTGTGTATCTTGCATTTATCATACAAGTATTTCAATCTATTTGTCATTTAAATGACACGTCAAGAATGCATGCATGTTAATGCAAGCTCAGCATTTATCACATGTAATATAAAACTCGCAAATTTAGAGACAATGAATAAAAATCACCGCGGTGAGTTATCCTATATCTTCCCACAGCACCTGGTACACTTATCAGCCCTGAATTTGAAAAATAAAAAACGTAAGATTACTCATTCATACCCGTAAGTTAAGAACACCCGCCATGAAGTGACTTGTATCTCCTGCAAGCCTGCATGACGTGAGGTAAACAGTATAAGAAGTCAATCATCCTCTCAAATACACGGTTTGTTAACACGCGAGCAGATGAGCATTGTTTGTTTCAGAAACGCACCAGTGTTACCCCTACCAATACGCTAGTTAGAGGTGACGCAGACGTCAGTGCTTTCTAAGCGATTTGAGCAAATGGATATTAGAAAAGAAATAGTGACCAATTCACACATACAGAAAGCAACTTATGGCAATTGAAAAAAATACTCGACTGCTTTGAAAATCACCCCATTCCAAACGGCCTGAACACGTAATATGCACAGACAGTCCGCAATGGGACCAGTGTTCAACAAAATGCACTGTAACGGTATGAGCAAGGCGCGATCTTTATCACCAACCGGGCACAAGAAAACATTGATCCGTGTGATGGAACGTGAGTTACATATATAAATTGGCTGGGAATATATCCCGATCGCGAGTTGTTGGGAATGCCTGATGGATAACGCATATTTACAAGCAGCATACCGTGCATCTGTCGCGAGCACCTGCGAGGTAGATTCGCAGTAGAGATAAACGGTTGCGGGAGATTACGGTCCAAACTGATTAGCGTGGATGTGAACAATATGTGTTCAAATAGGAGTTGAAATTTTGCCATCTACCCAGTAATTCTCATGTATGATTCACTTAATTCTATTTTTAGGATGGAGAGGGATTGGGAAGGTGGCGATGGGGGGATAAACTTTTTTCAGTGGGGTATTCTCATCCGACCAAGAAGCTCTTTTCTTTTTACTATCAATCCACCCCGGCGTATCGTCTATTTTTCTGTTTAGCACTAAAATGAAAGAGTTAAAGAAACGGTCAAAAATACAGGGATGCGTTCAACTCCGTCTCAATGTTAATTTCACTGATCACGTCCATTCAGAATCTAATGCATACCTGATAATTTACGGTAGCAATGGAATTTTATGACATTGGATCTTGGATCATTCTACTTGCATCGATATATCTAGATTTCCAAGCGTATTTTTCACTTTAATTTATCGTATTGACTCAGAATAATTCGAAATTAATAATAATAAATGCTTAATCGGAGGTAACTTATAATAGAGATCATGACAAGATGGCTTATTTGGAGGCAAATATGCAGTATTGCAGAGGGTAACCATACAGGAAAAATAACAGCGCAAGTATGACAAAGAATGAATTGGATTCCGTATGACTAGGCCTGAGTTTGCGGTGTAACATTTTGTATTCCACGCATTCTCAGCACAGCTTAGTCAGTTACTGCAGTTTGATTAATGGTAGAAACCAGCATGTTAAGGATGTTTAAATAAGTCATCAGGAAAGATTGTGTTCGTAAGAAGAATTTTAATTAAGTGTGTTTCGTTTATATATAAATAAAATGGCATGCTGAATTATCCAACACAAGGAGTATTCGTGCCAAACGTTAGACATGCCTAAGCGCCATTCACGTTAAAGATAACCTCTTAAAAAGTCCCATTGATTTGATGGATCCAGTGCCGAAATTCCATGTTTTCAAAACAGATCATCAAGGCAATATGACTTAAGAGGTGGAAATCGAATTATAATTGAACAATCGCCATCTTGTCTGCCCTGTGTCATCAACAGTGGTAGCATCATATGACTATGTTTAACATTTATGATTAACAGACAGCAAACACAGCATCAAAACGCAGTCTTTGTTATTACAGCAAGGTATCATAACAAGTAAAGCTAATGTTTCAACAACTCACCATTTTGCCTTGGTGTGACTTCTGTTGTGCTCACTGAATCTTCAAAGGAGGACTTCCTGTAAGAAAAGCAGTCGTCTCAAAGCAGTGTAACGCACTTCAGACAACGCTCGAGACTGAGGAGCGCACGTGCAGGAAGAGTTTTTATACCGCTGGGCGCTAGTATCTGAGCATGACGTCATCACTCAACAGACTGTCGAGGAGGGGCGGGTCATCGGTGAAGATTAACATACAAAAGTATACGGGACGTTTATCTTTTATTTGATAAGTGGTTATGCATTGTGCAGCAGAAAAAAGATGCATATGGATTTCAGGCCAAGGTTTTGATTGATTTATCATCAATAACTCACACAGCTGAAAATATGTCCTTGTGCATATTTTTATTGCCAGAATTGATGGAAGTAGAAAACACAGGAAGAAAGGTGAAATCTGTGAAATGGGAGCACAGGCGTGCGCTTAAGGACAAAGACGCGCTCATTAATGTTGTACATTCTCATATGCGAGCGTGTCTGCTTGCATGTAAGTGTGAAGGTTTCTGTGTGCGTGCTATCACGCGTGTTGTAGGACTTCGTACAGACTGTTACACGGAGGATGACACAGTCTAAAATAATAGTCTTGTTTCAATATTGTGAGATAGATGAAAACGATAAGATTGCATAGAATGCCATTGTAAACGTAAACAAAAATACAGAGCTTTGTTTATTGAATGATAGAGAACGCAGCAAATTAATTCATAATTGGGAGACAGAATCATGAGTGCACTCGCACTACCACGCACACACAGATATAAACACACGCACACTCACGAAGAGAGAGAGAGAATCAAATGGCCTGAAGACTGAAGCATCTACTGTCTAATTAATATTATAAACGCGGGGACTTAATCATGACCCGTCCTAAGTTCAAACTAGCTGTTATCTTATTTATACATGTACCTATTTCGCTGCAATTGTTAATAAATAAACACAAGCCGCCAATAATAGTCCTTTATCAAACAGATAGCGTATAATAGTATTGTATATTTTATCAAAAGATACGACGTACAAGTAATCCCATGCATGTATATTTTTCTGTTTTCCTATGTGTCTGCCCGTCCCGTCTTCTTGTCTGTCTGTCTACCAATCTGTCTAATTGCACATCTGTCTATCTGTCCGGTTGTATAAGACGTTTGCTTGTTTTCTGGCCTGCTTATCTGACTTTGTGGTTGAGTATCTTTGATGTCTAGTATTTATTTTTAGTATTGGTCCCTTTGTTCTCATATGATCTATATAGAAATGCAAGCTTAAGAAAAGACTGGTAAAGACCACCTTCCTAGAGCAACCGAAATGAATATGTTAGATACGCTCTGCATTTTGCGGATAATTGGTGCGCTTGGTATGACTAGTTCAATGTATTTTCAATCACTTACCGTTAACCGTCACGATCAGTTACTCATAAACAAACAGACCGCGTTCAGAACGGTTTTTGGTTAAGCGAAATGTTAGGTCGGACTTCATTAATTACACGATTGATCACGAACCCCCCCCCGTAAATCGGCTGTACACCCGAGTCAGGCCGAGATGAGCTATGATGGGATTCACCAAAGGGGAACAAAGTGAGGGGGAATCTAGCTTCTTCTTAGTGAAATTTAAACTAAAACGGTATTTCCTAAATTCGCTTTGAATCCGACCTACCCGGCGTTACTCACCATTATATGCAGATAACATTGCAGCACCATCCATATACAACAATACGGAGGTGAGTTCACACGCGCAAAAATGAAGGGTTCTGAAACGTCTTATTCATATGTACTTTATCGTAGTCAGGTAGCATCCAGCCAAGCAGTAACCCACCTGATTGAACAGAATGTACAGTTCTAGTGGTTATGAGGCGCTGAGCTGTGAAATTATTAGTAGTTGTCTAATTCTACTGTGTAACGTAATATAGAATGCGTTTATTTTTGCTTTCGTGAACGCATCTCTTTACATCACATTATCAACAGCGGTAATTTCTGTCAGAGATGAGTCATATCAGTGCTAATATATATAGGGTTGTTCTCATTACACCATCATTACGGCTTCCTTGCCTGATACGCCTAAAGATAATTTTCAAGGATCTGAACGAGCATTGTCCAAGATGGCTGATCTTTTCTGTTTAATTATTCACAACTTAAGCTGTTTATTTTCATGAAAAGGGGTCTGCGAAATTTCACTCATATTACATGACCTTGTAAACGATGGGAAGTTTCAGAGAGCACTCATGACTCGGCAAAGGCATTTGTACAGTATGAATCTTATAGAAAAATAAATATAGATATAGTAATAATACTGTATATTGAAGCTGATGGTTTTAGCTCGTGGTGTACTCGGTACAATGTCGGATCAATAATGTAGGTTATTTAAGGAATTTTATTTATGTATTTATCATCAAGCCTTAGATGTATTGGTGGATATTAAATAAAACAATACGTCTTTTGATAAAGCAAGACATCACATTCAGAATATTTAGGTGATAACCTAAAGCGACAAATAGGGCCTGATAGCTCAGTCGGTTAGAGCGTCGTGCTAATAACGCGAATGTCCTGGGTTCGAGCCCCAGTCGGGCCAGTGCGTCTTTTTATTTTTACTCATATGCAGACTGAAAAATAAATTGCTTTAGATAGTGTGTTGTCCAGTTAGATAATCCACAATATAATATAAGTAATGATATGCAAACGACGAACAACGAATACAAACTAGGTAAACCTTTCTGACGAGGCGCACAAGTACCGTGTCTAAATGGTGTGGCACTCATACTTTGTACTCTACTTTAGAAGTCACTGATATCAGAGGGAACGAAAACCACGTGCGTAGATGGGCATATTAGAAAAAAAAATTATAGGCATTATGTACCAGCATAAGAAAATAGATTTTACAACTCTAAATAAAAGACATATTACAGACCATGGGCCATTTTATTGCTGATGACGAAACTCTTGTCTGCCATTTTGAAAATCGTCATTTTACCGAGCTACATGGTTGATGTGAAAAAAAGTTGTCACATATGTGTTAAGCATCAATTTCTACCATAAAAATACCTGTCAAAACATTTGAGATTCGACCAACATTGTTAAATATATGCGTTTCCAAACCTATTTTCCCTTAAAACACCCGTTCCCGTAGAGTTTACCAAAAAGTTATCATTTACCTAGCTTAACAACTATCTAAAACATGCAATTTAGGAGTTTATATCTTATCCCGACCGTAACCTTAGCGCTTTGGCGATCACTTAATTGCACACCACTCTCAGCTACGATCTTTATCTTAGCAAGCAAAGATGTTACTTGACAATAACTCTCTGTCATTTTACTCTTTTGATTCCGCTTTAATTGTTTTCTGTGATTAGCAAAAGTGTAAGTAATTTGCTTTACAACAAAGAGTTTTTTTGTTAGCAGAAAGTCAAGCACAATAATAACTCTACCGAGCCGGGCAGGGTACTATTGTTCAAATGAACGGAACACCGTACGGACGACAATGTTATTTTTTCATTCCTACCTCGAAAGGGCGCAATTAAGGACAACCTGCAGGGTAAGTAAGCTTACGGCGTAATAACTGGGTTGAAATGGTGACAGCCAAAGCACTATACGTTTATACTTGTACATGGTCCGTGTAAGGGTAACATTTTAAAGGGTGGTTCTGGTACTTTGCTTGAGAATAGCTGCAGGAAAATGTATCAAACCAAAGTGCATGTACGTCAATAAGAGCAATGGATAGTTACAAAACATCCCGCTGTGTCCGGAAAGGGCTGTTGCTTTTAACATTGATTGTATTGCTGGCTTGGGTTTGCTATACGATTTTATTACAAGTAAACAGCAAGTTATCGACAGCAGTTTGGAAATCGGAATCAATGAGTTTAAAAACTCCACATGCATGCTAGAAGTGCCTGTATGCACCTTCATAAAGCAGACACGTAAAGGATATCTATCTCTGGTATCACATAAAAAGATATGACTACGTTATCAACGAGCCATGTGACCACGCCAACGGGCCATATTTATTAGTCCTGGTTATTTCTGATCCCAGAAATTTCAAGGCAAGATGGATGATTCGTGAAACAACTGGAACAGTCAAGTCATATGACGGGAAACGCATAAGAACCGTTTTCATTGTAGGCCGCACTGAGAATGCCTCTATAGAAAGAAATATTACGCTGGAGAGTGCTAGGCACAGGGATATCATCAAGATAGCGTTTGACGATTCATACAAGAATTATACACTCAAGGCTCTTCTTGCTTTTCGATGGACCATAGAGCACTGCGCTAATGTGAGTTATGTCTTGCGATGTGGCCATGATATCACGGCACATTACAAAGAAATTGTGCAATACGTAAGTGAACTTCCTTCAAATTTGGCATCAAACCTTTTTGCCGGCAAACTTATTCGAAAAGGAACACCCGTGTTTCGTGACCCTCACGGCAAATGGTACCAGTCACGGGAAGAGTTCAGCCAAGACACATATCCTGCATATATTTTAGGTTTTGCGTCACTCTTTTCATTTGACGTCATTCGTCGTATTCACTATGCCTCGCTTTGGAAACATCTTTTCATGGAGGACATTTTTACGTCCTCTTTAGCAACGGAAAATAATATTACACTTACACACAATCCGAATTTTTGGCAATATGGCTCTGACAAATTACTGGAAAGAGAATGCTGTTTGCTCAGCTCTTTGGCTATTCACCGAGCACCAAATTTTCGAGTCTGGAGTGCTTTGAATGGGAATCGGAGTAAAACAGAGGCATGTGGAAGGCAGGGATGCTTTGTTACCCCAAAATAACAAGGCACTCGGCGAAAAAGACTAAGAAAAAGACCATCTGAACCAAATGTCTGATATAGTCGATTGAAAATGTTAGCAACGAAAAATGGTAGGCAAAAATATATTGTAAGGCGGTTCGGAGTTCGAATTATACCTGTAAAATCAATGTTCAAAGGAAAATTATGACAAAGACTAAAGGATTGGCATCACAGAAAATGTAACAGAAGCATTAAAGAGGCCGTTCACTAGTTTCTGAAATCGCCATTTGTCCAACATCACTTGAAGTGATACATAATGCTGAGCCTTAAGCATATTACCAAAAAATAATAAAAAATGGGTGCTATTCTGTCATCATAGCAAGGGCTTGTAAAATATGCATAAGGTTTTATACGAGTTATGTAAATGTTAAGAGTGATTAATTTAAGCTTAATGAATCGATGTCAATGATATCTAAATCCTTTCGTTATGTGATTTTTCTTTGTGCTAATTCTCTTTTGCGTTATCTAAATTCACGGATGTGACTTCATTGCTATCCAGTAGCCCTTTTGTAAATCTACAAAACAGGCCGTTGAATTTTTGCGCCGTAGTTGGGCTGTACCTGTAAAATCCAACTAATGACGTTTCCTCAAGTCTTTACATATTAACCAACCTGATAATTTGAAAGCAAAGTCAAAAATCTTTTTATTTTTGTAATCTTAGAAGATTGATATGATTGGGAACATCTCTATTCATTGAAGAAGATAAGCAGTTTAAGATGCATAGCACGCTAGCATTTCTTTGCTTTACTATCTTTTTTTAAACAATTTCTTACTCTCTCGGATCATAGTTGGACTCTGTAGGTAGGACTCTCTCGTGATCAGACTCTGTAACTGAAATATTGATGATTACTTAGGAATAGATTCTGAAAATCCAAGAAGTTATAAAGAGAAGGCCTTCTCTTTATAACTCCTTGGAAAATCAAACTGGAGTTTTTGTTCTTTAACACTTTATTTTTCTCGCACACCTTCGTAAATATCTGGCCTGATAGCTCAGTCGGTTAGAGCGTCGTGCTAATAACGCGAATGTCCTGGGTTCGAGCCCCAGTCGGGCCAATATCCGTTTTGTTACTTTTAATAAATTAACATTGTTCACTATATTGCCTTTGAGTACATTAGAAGTAATGTAAAGTTTCAAAAAGCCAAAACACCTACTACATTACTGTTATCAAGTTGTATAATGTAAAGGTATCCTTCAAAGAATGTCGAACAGGGGCCCGTATCTCGAAAGCTTCGCTATGTTGCGCACGTGCGCAAGCGTCTCGATTCCATAACTCGCCCATACTCTTTCCATATCATACATTGTAGCCTCTATTTGATATAGCGATTCGCAATACGCGATGCTTTCGAGATACGGGGCCCAGCTCTCAACTTCGTCAGGACAGCAGCAGAAAACCCCCATGCCCAAAAGTCGTAGTGTGAACAAACCCGGGAAAACACATCGGTGAGCAGTTGTCAACCCAGGTAATTCAAATGCTTCAGGTATCATCTCTCGTAAAAGACTTGTTTTGGACTTCATTTGTACGATTGTACACATATACACGTGTGCCTGAATACTGCAGAAGCTGTAAACGCCCACGTTCGTGCCCCGTGACCAGAAGACAAATGCTCACAGCGGACTCTTGTACCCATCTGAAGAGAAAAGAGTGAGCGATCACCAAACCTCATTGGAAGGTATTACAGCTGAGTTGAAAGGGTGACAACCACAAATCACATACGCGCTTATGCTAGTAAATGGTACTTGTAGATAACAACATTGGACAGGGTGATACTTTCCTTGAGGACAGCTGTAGTATAGTGTATCAACCCAAAGTACATTCACCGCGAGGGATGGATAGTTATAAAGTATTCCGCTATGTCCGGAAAGGACCACTGCGTTTTATAATGATTTTATTGCTGGCTTGGGTTTGTTACGCCATCTTTTTTACCCAAGAAACGTTAACAAGTAAACAGCAACACGTTATCGACAGTAGCTTGGTAGTCGGAATCAATGAGTTAAAAAACTCCACATGCATGCTAGAAGAGTCTGTATGCACGTTCATAAAGCAGACACGTAAAGAATACCTCTGGTATCACACTAAAAGATATGCTTACGTCATCAACGAGCCATGTGACCACGCCAATGGGCCATATTTATTGGTCCTGGTTATTTCTGATCCAAGAGAATCCAATGCAAGATGGATGATGCGTGAAACAACTGGAAGAGTCAGGGCATATGATGGGAAACGCATAAGAACTGTTTTCATTGTAGGCCGCACCGAGAATGCCTCTATAGAAAGAAACATCACGCTGGAGAGTGCTAGGCACAGGGATATCATCAAGATTGCGTTTGAAGATTCGTACAAGAATTACACACTTAAGACTCTTCTTGCTTTCCGATGGACAATAGAGCACTGCGCTAACACGAAGTATGTGTTGCGATGTGGCCATGACGTCACAGCACAATACAAAGAAATAGTGCGGTATATAAGGCAACTTCCTAAGCGTTTGGCCACAAAAATTTTCGCAGGCTTCCTTGTTCGACGTGGATCATATGTTTTCCGTGATCCTGGCAGTAAGTGGTACCAGACATGGGAGGAATTCAGCCAAACAAGCTATCCTGAATACATTACGGGCTTTGCGTCACTTTTTTCATATGACGTCATCCGCCGTCTGCACAATGCTTCGCTTTGGAAACATCTTTTCGTGGAGGACGTTTTCATGTCAACTCTAGCAACGGAAAATAATATCACACTAACACACAATCCGAATTTCTGGCCTTATAGGCCTTTTGGCATATTGCAAAGACCTTGTTGTTTGTTGAAATCGCTGGCTATTCACAAAGCTCCAACTTTTCGTGTTTGGAGTATCTTGAACGGAAATGTGACTAAAACAGAAGCATGTAGAAGACAGGGATGTATTGAAACCCCAACTCTGGTGCACTGGATAAATATGCCAAATAAGACAACATTTAAAGTGTTAGGTGTGGAGGAAGGTATGAAAAGAGGCATTTTAGTTGGGGCCAGATCTCTTACAGGCCACTAGTCCAAAGGTAGATCTCATAAAGAAACAGATACTCAATGTTACACATCTTTATAAAAGTTGACAAAGCTATTAAAGTGACATTACACATAATCGTGCGTTGTAAACACCAGTTTGCTGCCTCTAGTCTTACCATTTAAATGAATATTTTAAACTACAAAACAATTACTAAATATTGGTCACATCTTAATATGTCGACGGTTTATCGATCTAAGGACGTCTTTCGTCAGGCTTGCTTGATTATAACTCGTTTTGTCGCGATAAACAGAAAAGAGATGATAGAAAATGCAGTTCATGTTATTTACCAATCTATTTATCTACTCGTGTCCAGACGTGGCAAGGATTGGGAAAATGTGTTGTTTTGTCTAGTTTTGCATGTAAAATTACATGCTGAGAAGTTGAAGTGGAAGAAGAGGGTGCCTCTGAAGCTAGAGAGGGAGGGGGCAATTGTCCCACTGATGAACATTTCAAAGCAACTCCAACCTCTTAACCCCTCTTTACACTGGACAGCGTCCTTTCTGCGTCCCTTGTGCGACCATGAAACTGGCATCGCTGTGGTCGTAGAAACGAGGTACAAGCATCGCTTTGGTTGCAGTATGAATGCTCAATGATCCGCCAGTTCTCAGCACGTGAAGTATTATTATTATTTTTACTCTCAAACAGGGCCGAACTATAAAACGCAGAAAGGACGCCGTCCAGTGTAAAGGGGCTTTTAACAACTCGAACCGTATTTATCCAGGCTTTGCTTGGCAGAGCACATATTGCGTTAGATGTGCTCTCCAAACACATTTTGTGAAAAAAATGGACGTTTGCTATTGCGTTGCACCCACATCTTGAATGCCATTAGACTAAATAAGTGATTCCTAAAGGGTGCCAAGATTGCATGCATCATGTCTTTCAAATTCTCCAGACCTCACGGAAGTTTATGAAAATGTCAATTTTTTTTCTCCATCTTTTTTTCGTTTATGACAACTTCTCACTGATAAAATAAACATTGCAACACGCTGTACTTCAATCTACACAGAGATTTTAATTTTGAATACAGTTACTCACAAGCATGTGGTAAAGACAAGGACCTAATGAACAAATGTGATTGACAATATATATATATATATATATATATATATATATATATATATATATATATATATATATATATATATATATATACTGGACAAAAGAAGTGTCACCCCCTAACTCAGAGTAATAAAAGTAGGCAAATCTTGGGTAATTATAATGCCTGGTCTACTTATAATGTGACTAATGAGTATAAAACCGCTGTACCATGGGATTGTATTGTTGGTCTTGTACATGTACAGCAAATATTATTCCTGTCTTCCTCGAATATGGCAAGATACAGGCAATTATCTAACGGTTACAGGTGCAAGTTATTAACTTGAAGAGGCGGAATATAAGCAATGTCAGTATATCGATACAATTGAATTGTTTAGTCAGAACCGTGCAGAGGGTCTGGTCT